AACAGAGAACGACCAAAGCGCGCTTTGGGTTTTCAGCACAGGTAAATGGTGGATTTTGATCACCGCATCCTTTATGATGGGGGCTTGTTGCACCTTCACACTTTCGCTTTTTTCTCTCTCTCTTTTTTTTTTTTTTTTTGGTATATGTGTGTGTGTTTGTTTTTTTCTGCTCAGTAAAAGGACAGTTTTCTTTCCTCAGTTTCCAGATAGTGTCCCAGCCCTGAACGGATAAGTCCTCAAACGATCCAAACAGAGTAAGTTAAGATGTAAAAGCATGCATCTTTGCGACCGCCAGGGAGTGTTTCAAGCAGGAGTGTACTTAACAAACCCAGCTCCCAGGCGTTCAGCCAGGCACTGGGCCGACCCGGTAACGCAGGAAGGCTTTTCCTTGGAAACAGCACGCGGGCCTGCGGGAAGATCTCCCTGTGCTCCAGGTGCACTTGCAGGTGACGGACAGAGACGTGTGTGTGAGATCCAGCAGCGCCTGTGCCCATCAGGGCTTATGGATGCCCCCCAAAACAGCTTCACAGAAAACTCACTGCTTATGCTGGTGCCAACACTGTAAGAACAAATATGCAGGGAGTGCTGCAAGGATCTGTGGTTGCTAGCATAGATAATTAATAGGAATTAATTATGTATGTGCTTAAAAGGCAGATTAAAATTGGAAGAATATTTTATGTATATTAGGATGTATTTAAAATCCCCTCTGCTGTGTACTGCTTGCCCTTTCTTAAGCAGAAGGGAGTTTTAAAGTTTGCATGTGTGTTTGTACATACAGTTTGTCTTACTGATTTATGTGGCCTGTCCAGCATTAATCCTACTATAAGAAATTAAGTGGATTCATTTAGACATGTGTTTTCTCAACAAAATTTGCTAATAAACTCTTATGGTGCTATTACTTCACATGACTATGTTATGCTCAAGTAGAAGTTAGCTTAGAACCTAGTGGAGGTAAATTTAGTTTATAAATTGATATAATAGCTATATTAATGTCACTGCTTTTATACCACAGTTGTGCTTCAGAGTGTCATGTGTTCATGTATCTTTTAGAAAACTCTTCAACTTTGTATTTTGACAGGAAATTAATTTTTAACTCAGCTTTTTTTTTTTTTTCTTTAGTTGCAGGCAATTGAGAATGAGGTGAAGACAGGAATCATAGGGTTCCCTGAATACGGAACAGAGGAGATCCAGAGATGGAGTCTGGTACAGAGGAGATTCCGGTTAAAGTTGCAGTGCGGATCAGGCCTCTGCTTTCCAAGGAAGTTCTTCATAACCATCAAGTGTGTGTGAGGCTAGTCCCAAATACACAACAAATTATCATCGGAAAAGATCGTGCCTTCACTTTTGATTTTGTGTTTGGCAAAAATTCAACCCAAGAAGAAGTATATGCAACTTGCATTAAGCCTCTAGTAGTATCTTTGACTGAGGGTTATAATGCTACAGTATTTGCCTACGGACAGACAGGTTCTGGGAAGACTTACACCATTGGAGGAGGTCACATTGGTAGGTTGTAGAAAGTTTTATTTTGCTTTTGTGACTCTTTCACATTTTCTTTTTTAGCATACAACTTTTTGCCAGCATGCCAGAGACCAACTTTGTATTTAAATTTCTTTTTTAAAAGTGGTTGTGTAAAACTTTTCTATTAACATGGTGTTTCCAGTTATTAATTCTCAAAAACCTGAGACTGGGCTACCCTGTCCTTAATATTTTCAAGAAAACCTCTTTAGCTTCTGCAAGTTTGTTTGTTTTTTTTCCTTGTCTTTTTACAGAGTTCCATGTTGCAAGTTTTGGATCCTTTTCCCAGTCATCTGTGGAAATATAATAATTTCTTCTGTGTAATTAGAGGGATAAGAAAGAGAAGAGCAGCAAGGCAAAGACTAACTAGTTATTTCTTTTGGGCATTTTGTTCTCCTCATAACAGTCTGTGTCGCCATCTCTGTCACTTACCCAGAGCAATCCCCCACTTGCTTAACATTGCTGTAGACCGTGCATCATGGTAATTTTTGAAATGTCTGAAAATGATGTATTCTGACCCTGCAAAAAGGACCTGAAATGTTACTGTTAATTTGCTAGTGTTCTTTTGTTGTTGTTGTTGTTTTATTTTTCTCAACATGATTTTTACTAGTTTTTCTCTTAGTGTTGTACCAAAAGAATAAATTCATATGTTAGTGCCATTTCCGTGCCAAGACAAATGGAAGGAGGCAATATTGTGTCAGTTTACATATCTTGATTTACCTGTGAGTCTGACTTCTGCTCCACTTGAAAATTTACTGATGGCTGTTAAAACTACCTAAATATTTTTCTTTTACAATAATTATTTGGCAGTGGATTCTGGTTTTTAGCGGTGTAACAAATAAGGATCTTGATTTTTAATGTCATTGTATTATATGTTATCTTGCCAAATCTAGCAATTTAAGTATCACCTCTACTGGTTGCTACTGATCTTATCTTGAATTAACAGAATATTAACATGTAATTCGCTTTAGGGTCTAGTGTCAAGGTAGGAATTCTCACAGGAATAAAACTGTAATAAATAAATGCTGGCTATAGATCTTGTCTCACCAAATTACTAATGATCTTTACTGTACTTAAGCGAAACTTGTAGTTTTCTAAACTTCTGTTTATTTGTTGCTATATATAATGAATTGGAATAAAGAATGTCCTCTGGGCACAACAGGGTTAAAGCAAATTCTATATTTTTCCTAATTTTGTTTTGAATCTAACATAAAGTTACTTAGCGGTTAAGTCTGAATCCTATTTGTGCGTGTAAACAAGCATTCTGATTCTCAGAAAAGCAAATACTTACATAAATACTGGAAACACCTAATGCTTGAGATTCCTTAGTGTATTGTATTGAGTAGTAAAGCTCACAGACTTCTCTCTCTCTTTAGCATTTGTAGTTAGTGTGTAGGGTGACTCCAGTCTTCTGTGACATCTTTGTTTATGTTTCAGCATCAATTGCAGAGAATGAAAAAGGCATAATCCCACGAGCTATTCAGGAGTTATTTCAACATATCTCTGAAAACGAAAACATTGATTTCAGTGTGAAAGTATCATATATAGAGGTTTACAAGGAAGAACTTCGAGATTTATTGGAGTTGGAGACCTCTGTAAAAGATTTACATATCCGAGAAGATGAAAAGGGAAATACAGGTAGGAAATCCACTCTACAACTCATGCATTTGGTTTCATTTTTATGTTCAAATGCAAATTATTCTTGCCTTCTCTTGAAAAGAACTTACTGAATATTAACACTAGAAACAAAGTTCTACTTTCAGAACATAATAAACGTAGTTGAGGTGATTTCAAGCAGTTTTGTTTTTAGACAGTTGCAAATAATGCAGGTGTTGCAGTGGAAATGGTGGCAGATAAGGTTGCAATGCAGTTTTTCCAAATTCATCCTAAAAGCACAAGTAAATGTGATTATTCACTTGAATAAGTATTTCAAGATTGGATCTTTGCTTCTCATTTAAAAATTTTAATGGTTAAGCCATTTATAGTGTAAATATCTGCCCTCCCATTTCCAAAATGAACTGCTTGGGAGGCTACAGATTGACCTTCTGGAGAGCAGCTCTGCAGACAGGGACCTGGACGTCACGGTGGATGATAAGTTGACCAAGAGGCAGCAGTGTGCCCTCGTGGCCAAGAAGGCCAATGGGATCCTGGGGTGCATTAAGAAGAGCGGGGAGCTGGGCCTGTTCAGCCTGGAGAAGAGAAGGCTGAGAGGGGATCTAATCAGTGTCTATAAGTACCTTAAGGGAGGCAGTGAGGAGGTTGGTGCTGGCCTCTTTTCAGTGGTGGTCACTGACAGAGCTAGAGGTAATGACCACAAACTGAAGCACCAAAAGTTCTACAGGAACTTAAGGAAAAAATCTTAATGGTGCGGGTGACAGAGCCCTGGAACAGGCTGCCCAGAGAGGTTGTGGAGTCTCCTTCTCTGGAGATCTTCCAAACCCACTTGGACGCAGTCCTGTGCCACGTGCCCTGGGTGTTCCTGCGTGTGCAGGGGGGTTGGACTAGATGATCTCTAGAGGTCCCTTCCAACCTTAATGATTCTATGATTCTTGGTTGTGGATTGGCTATTCGTAATTGCTGTGAACTTTTACTATGAGTTTAAGATTACTATTCTTACTTTCTTTGGTTTGGTGTTTGAAGTTATTGTTGGAGCCAAAGAATACCAAGTTGAATGTGCAGATGAAGTGATCAGCCTATTGGAAGGTGGCAATGCAGCTCGTCACACAGGTACAACACAGATGAATGAGCACTCCAGTCGATCTCATGCCATTTTTACCATCAGCATTTGTCAGAAACAATCTGCAGAGTCTCAAAAAATTACCGATGCTGCACAAGATTCATCTTGGAAATCAGTCCAGATGATTGCTTCGAAGTTCCACTTTGTAGATTTGGCAGGATCAGAGCGTGTAACAAAGACTGGAAATACTGGTGAGCGATTCAAAGAATCCATTCAGATTAATAGTGGTTTGTTAGCCTTGGGAAATGTCATCAGTGCACTTGGAGATCCAAAGAGAAAAGGTGCACATATTCCATACAGGGATGCTAAAATCACCCGAATTCTGAAAGACTCCCTAGGAGGAAATGCCAAGACTGTCATGATAACATGTATAAGTCCATCTTCATCAGATTTTGACGAGTCTTTGAATTCTCTCAAATATGCCAACAGAGCCAAAAATATTAGAAATAAACCAGTTGTAAACTACAACCCTGATCAAGACCGAATTGATGAAATGGAACTTGAAATCAAATTACTTCGAGAAGCTTTGCAGAATCAGCAAGTTTGTAGTCTTGCTAATCAGAGTTCACACGACTTGAATCAAGAAAGGACTCGAATAAGTTCACTTGAAGAGCGGCTCAGCCAGCTTCAGGCCGAGTGCTTCCGTTACAGAAATTGCATAGATGCAGTCTTCCCATTCCTCGTTGGTTTGAAGAATGATGCCAGCTTAAAAAGAAGTCAGCAGGACAGGTTGCAGAGCTGGATCACCATGGTAGAGCAAGTAAGGAAGGAAGCACTTGCCGTGCCGCAGGTTGATACTGGGCCTGGGACCAACCACGAAGAGCCACACCATGTCACAATACTTCAGCTAAAGAGAGAGCTAAAGAAGTGCCAGGTATCTGATTGTCTAAATAAGTAATATCACATGAAATGACTGTCTACTAAAACTTAAATTTACACTTAAACTGTACAATCTTGAACAGTTATGCCTACCTGCTCCTGAGAGATAAATTTTTATTTGATAGGTGTAATTATAATTCAGATACCCTGCTTCTCTCACTGCACTTGCAACATATCTCTGCACTTGCAGATAATTTATGGGTTAAGTTCTTAGTACTGTGAAGTTGCAAGTATCTAATCTCTTGTTATTAAATCAGATTTTTTTAGCATATACTTTTCTTCAACAGTGTTCCTGCATTGTTTCTGCCAAGAACACCTTCCTTTTTGTTATTAAACTTTAGCTTATCAGGTTTCCAATCCGTAAAGATTCCTGTTTCTTACCATTTTTCTAACTCTTGCTTCTGAGTTATTTATCAGCTTTCTGTTTTTTGGTGCCACCATGCTTCTTTCCAGTTTTCCATCTGAAGTGAGGATTTTAAAACAAGATATGGGATCCTCAGCATGCTGTTATCCTGTCAGGATCCTCTCATGCTGGTACCTCTGAAAAAGCTTTCTCAGTCAGCACATAACAGTTCCAGACCATACTCTTGGAGATGAGCCCTCAGCCTTCTCGAGCACCCTAACATCTCCTCACAGAACTGAAGTGTGATCAGATACAACTTCTTCATGGTGGCATTCTCATAGGTGCTAAGGAAGTACACATCTAAAAGATGATCTTTAAAGATGATCTTTTTGAACAGATCTTATAAACTAATATGAGTCTGCTAGTTACAGAAGGAGCCCTTGCCCTAACAAATTAGGAATTTGTAACATCAGCTTCATTTTGCAACCAAATTCTAATAAACATGTAGCTTGTTATCTGGCAATTACATATTTAAACTCTGCCTTTTCTTTAATTCTTTTTGAAAAATCTTTGCTTCATTCCTGTCACTCTAAATTTCCTGTTTCAGGCTTCCGGTTCCACAGTTGAAGAATGCAAGAACTGTGGTAAACAGAAAGGCCCCCTAGGTCAGTGCGCTATTAGCAACCAGGAGCAGGTGGTTAGGGGGAGACTGGAGCAGATGGAGGTATAGACTGATGAGCTGGGCTTACAGCCAGGACATCTGATTTTATAACAAGTAGTGTAAATGCAATGCATGTTTTGGGAGAAAGTGTCTTTTTCTCTAGCAAAAGTTAATTAAAAGATTTGGATGTGACAAGGTGAATTCACTGTCTTCATTTAAAGATCAGTAATGTGTACTGCATATATGATTGTAGCATGTAGTGTGCAGCTCCATATGCTGCATACAGAAACAATACTTCCAAGCAGCTAACTGCATAAGGTCAAAACCACCACCAACAACAGCAAAACAGTATGCTGCTTATGTTTGTATCATTGCATCTTACCTCACTCTGTCATCATGCTAACATCTGTGCAAAACTCTACTGCTAGTCTATAATTCCTCTTCAGCTCTGAATGATATTATGGGATGGGGGGAGGGGCAGGATATGGCTGCTAAGTTTAGTGTTGCATTGATACAATAGATACAATTTGATATAATTGATACAATTGATACATAGACTTTGGAAAATGTTCTGCTGTCTGAAGAAGCATTGGATTCTTGAAAGCATTCTTAGAAACTGTTAATCTTAACTTGAAGGAAAGGTGAGGTAAGCTGGTTGTATATTGTATCCAGCATTAGAATGCTATGAGATGATGCTTACACAGTTTGCATTTGACTCCTATGGGCTTTTTGTGGTCTCTTTATGGTCTTTAATTTTCCAAATTTAAGAATAGCACTGGCCCATCTTCCCACCTGATCTGCTCTTTTATTATCCAGCAGGCTCTAGTTATGGATGAAGAAGTATTTAGCCAGAAGGATCAGGAGCTGAGGGTATTGCAGAATCAAATAAAAACATTGATACAGGAAAATGAGGAACAACTGGATTCTTTAAAGCAAGCTCAAGAAACAAACAAATTACAGGTATTATTCCTCTGGTACATATCACTGTGGAAAGATGGTTCAAATGTGGATGAAGCAGAAGTTAATTCCTGATCCTTGTGTACTAGCCTAGCTGTGGCACAGTCTTCTTGTATGGCATTAGATAAATCATTAAACTTCTGTGTGCTTCCTAAAAACATAACATACACCCCCATTTGTGTGTTTTGTTTTAAAGCTGTTTGCAGGACTATCAATTAACTGAGATTTGAAATCCTCTGAGGGACTCTGAAGACAGAATATTTTAGAACACTAGAATACTTTAGTTGAGAGAGTCCATAGAAATATGTTTTGGTGTAGCAATAGTAAGTCCAAGAATAAAATTCTATTACCTTTTGACTTTATAAGGCAGAATTTCATGCTAAGTTTCAGAGCACTCACTATTATAGGAAGCTGAGCGACTTGGCGGAAATTGCTTGACTTTTACCTCTGTAGATCATTTACTTCCTTGTGGAATGGTGATGTGCAGTAAGTATTTAGTTTTCCAAGATGGTAAGTGGAGTAGCTGTTGTTTCCCTCTGATTATATGGATAGAAAGATGGATAGAGTATTGTCTTGTTCTTTTGAACAAAACAGCATAAATATGGCTGGCAAGTACTCTTCTCCTTATTTTATTTTTTTCTTTTCTTCTTTTTCCTCCTCTTTGCTGATATCTTGGGTAGAGTCATTGTTGAATAGCTGGTAAGTACGCTGGTCATTACATTTTTCTTCCCTCTGTCATTTTTTTATTTTCTGTCATCTCTGGCTAGTTTTGTTTTGTTTTCCTGTACAATACAGTGTCAGCTTGCTACACTAAAATAATGCTTTTGGTTTATATCTAGAAATATACAAGGTTGAAGTAATGGAGAGAAACAATCGCATAGTGAGTAAAAGGCTTGCCAAAAGTCACAGTCAGCTCAATATTAGAGATAGGAGAGGAGCTTGAAACCTCTCGGGCTTGTACTTAAGTACAGTACTTAATCCACTGATCCAACCATTTTATTTAAAAACGTAAATGAAAATAAGTAGGATAATTAAAAGTAAATGTTTGTGTCAAATAGTTTGAAGTGGCATTCAGAGAAATAATTTGCTGGTGCATGATACGGTCAAAATCATAAAAGTAGGATCTGCTAGGTATTAAATAGTTACATGTTATATGACTGCTGTTCTACTATGGGGTCGTTCATGCAAACATGGTGGGGACAAAAGAGTTGAAGGAATCCACTGAAGGGTGGATATTGTCTTCCATACATATCTGTCGCATTCCAACAAAATGTTAGTTTTCAAGGCATTGTCTAACTACTCAGGAAGAACATGCATTCTCAGAAAAGCAGATGTAAAGGATGAATGGAAAATATTTGAAAGATATATCTTTGACATATGCAAAATATGTTTCATTAGATGCTTTCAGTTGATTGTCACAGCTGTCTTTTTATATTTTCTGCTATCAGTAGGCTATATTTTAGAGGTACTGTGGAAAGAAGTGAAGGTAATATACAGGTTTGAAAATGGTTACAATCTTGGTGTTATAAATTGGTTTATAGAAGATACATAATTTTGAGCAGCATACAAAGACTGCTGTAGGAAGGGTAGAAAAATTCTTCAAACTAATATTGCTAACAAAGTTAAGGCTGGGTAGAAGAAGTAGTACCTACTACAAGGAATCGTGCAAATTGTGCAAATAGATCCATGTGCACACTAATGCAAAAATAATATTTAAAATGAGATTACTGAAAGAGTAATCCTGTATACAGGTTCGGTTATTTAGTCTCAGTCTGCGTGTTCTGTTTAAGTGTTTTATGCTGAATTCTCATATTATTCTCCCCAAAACACACACAAGTAAAGCAAGCATGGGCTGATAAAGACGTCCTTTGCTTCTCACTGGATGCCTAGATAAGCTGCATAAATTAATATAGGATAGGTTTTTCCAGAGGTGGAGGAAAAAAAATTAAAGCAAGGCTTCAAAATGTTTTGCTTAGCATTTGGGAGAGAGTCATTTTCATTTAGTTGCATAACATGTATGTTTGTGCACTGCAGAAAATATTAGAGTTGGTGAGCAATATACAAGATTCATGATCTTGGTAATTAATTTAGGAAAAATGAATGTGGAATGAATGTGATGGAGAGAGCTGATGATCAGCAACAGTTTTGTCTTCTGTTTTCTTTTTTCTTTGAGAATGAGAAAATTGTAGAACAGCAAATACTTATTGATCAGCTAAAACAAAAATTGGAGAAGTTTATGACTATGAAAAGCTCTGACTTCCCGAGTGCTTGTGGAGATGGGCCCTCTGCCCCAACATCTGCGAGGAGACCATACAGCGTCCCGCTCACGAGGAGCCTGCTGCGCTCCCTTCACCCACCTTCAGGCACAGAGGCACGAAAGGTGAGGGCTGCTGCCCTAATACTGCATTTTTCTCCTTTACTTCATAATGCTGGTAGTAGAGATTTTCCCCATCATTTCTGGGGTGCTTTTTGGCAGGCATACAGCAGCCCCCCTGCAGCCTCGCTGGCCCGGGTGCTGGCAGGATTCCGCGCTCGCAGCCAGATGATGCTGAGCTACATTGAAGATCAGGATGAAGTACTCCCCTGTCATCTGTCTGATCATAGTGATGGAGAGGAAGGAAAGACAGAGAGAGAAAAGAAAACCCCAATTAAGTAATTTTTTTGTTGTTCTTTAAAGATTTTTTTATACACATCTGTGTATCATTTACCTTAACCTAAATGTATGGGACCAAATTGCCATGGTGCATTACAAGTATAGGAAACTGTATCAGTGACCTGTGTGTGAGGTGTTTTCTAACCATAATGATTCTATGATTCTAAATATTGCATGATCCTTCTTTTGGGGGAAGAATCTACCAACAAAATCTATGGAGCGGGGAGAGAAGGTAAAAATGCCCATGTGAGTTTTCTCACACACAAATTCTGCATTAATTTTGTTAAGTTCATGCAAAGCACGTGACCTTAAAGTAAAACAATCTCTGTGTTTTTTGGAATGTACCATGTTTTCCATTCTTCCTTAGGCGTGCTATAAACCGTACGTGGACACGAAAACAGGCTTCTCTGTGCTTTCCCCTTAACCTAAGTGATACGAAGTGCCAAGTAGAGAAGTCTAGTTTTTACAACAAACCTGCATTAACAATTGACACGATCACAGGTAAAATTTGATTAGTTATGAGAGGAAAATATACTGTAATATCAGAACGTGCAAGAATATGATTATCATATTTAATTATTTTTTCCTAGCTAAGTATGGGTATTTAAAACATTCTTTTTTCGTAGATCACCTTAGATTTGAGATTTTTTTTTCTTGAAACTGTATCAGTTATCTTAATGTTTAAAGAACATTGTTAGCTAGCAAGTGTTTCACAAATCAGAGATGTTTAGCACTTCTTGCAGGAAAAAAAATAGTATTATTTTACCAGAAATGTACTGAAATTATTTAATTAATATTTTTCCTCATACTCTGGGTCTTGGAATGCTAATGAATGTCATTGTTTTTTCCCTGTTTATAACTACTATCTTTTTTACAGATGGCAGGAAAAGATTCCTTGCACTACTCCCTCCTTTTGATTTTTTTTTTTCTTCACTTCCCAGGCTAGAAATCTACAAACACAGTGTTCCTGAGCACTATCCTTTGGATACAGAGTGTATTCCAGATCTTCCTTCTCATTATTGCCATGTTTTCTTTCAAGGTGAAGAGATAGACAGCCTCCGGAAGAGTCATGTTTTTAACATGCAAAAGCTAAAGGTTTCAGAATTGAGACTCACAGAGGCCAAGCAAAAAATGAGAGAACTTGCACTTAACATCAAAATGAAGGAGGAACTTATTAAGGAACTAGTAAAAACAGGTAACTGGCTACTTGAAGACACATTCAAATTCAGAAGTCTTCTAGTAACCTACATATTCATATTTTTTATGAATTATTTGATGTGATAGTACGGGTTACTGTGAAATGATGTCAGTAGGGGCTACTGTGCAATGATGTGCAGATGTTTGTTTTTTGTATGCTTTATTCATTATTTCTTTCTTTCCACCAGTTTTGTACTTTTTATTGCGTGCTTAGTGCTGCAGGCTTTTCCATCAACATGGATCTATCACATGGTGTCTGGGATAGGAGGCAACATACAACACTGTGCTGGGAATGTACATATTTCCAGCACTGAAGTAGAGAAACAGTAATCAAGAGCTAATGAGGGCAAAGGCCAGTGTCCCTTTAGTCTATGTCCCTAACACACTTAGCTTCTGGCAGATATCAAAATCTGTTTTATGATGATGGTAAGGACCTCTATGCTCAGCTCCTGCAATTACTCTTTTCTCCTATGCACACACTGTCTCAGCACTGAGAAATATTCTGTACCCCATAAATCTAATTGTGAGGAAAACTGTCCAAAATAGACAAGTCACAGAGTGGAAATACGATCAAAAGTTGTTCACAGATTATATATCTGGAAGTTGAGTAATAAAGAAATAGCATATCCTTCTGGGAAGAAAAGAAAAAAAAAAGTATTTATGAAATATAGAAAAGACATTTTGACAAAGATTGCAATGGGTAGAAGGATTTCATTTTATTTGGTACTCTAAATATCAGATGACGCACAAAGAATTCAGTTTTAGACCCCTTCCTTTATCTTTATTTCAGAGTTAGACTTGCAGATGGAAGCTTTCAGAAAAGGAATTATATGTTCCTTTACAGTTGGAAAATGTCTTAGAAATTGTTGTTTAAAGCAGAATGAAATAGGTAATAATTCAACTCCCTAATTATTACATTTCAATTGATTATACTTGATTATTCTGCTGCACCTATTTCTAAACTGTTTGGTTATGATGTCTTTAAGGTAAGGATGCTCAGTCTGTAAGCAGGCAATATTCTTTGAAAATAGCAAAACTGGAGCAAGAATCTGAGCAGGCCAAAATGGAACTTGCTGAAACACAAAAGCAGCTTCAGGAATTGGAGAGTAAGGAGCTGAGAGGCATTGCTGAGAAAGCTAAGTTGCAGAAGGAGTTTCGGAAGAAAATGGATGCAGCTAAGTTGAAAGTGCAGGTATTTTTGACCTTAACCGTTAGGATTTGCAAATCCTTGTCCTACGAGGAAATTTGAAATCTTAACATTCACCCTATAAAAACCACATTAGTTTTATACAATTGAAAATGATTGGACTGTAGTATCACTACACTACTTAGCATCACTGTGCTCACAGTGCTTTTTAAAATATATGTGGTTAGATACATGCAGTATTTTCTTGTTAGCTAAGCAACCAAGAAAGAATGAATGGCATGAGATTCTCATAAATTATAATATAAAGAAGAACCTACACAATGAGACTGTGTCAAGTTTTTTTTTGTCCTTTCATCACCTGTCATAAAAAAAAAATGTCATTTTAGGGACCTACTACATAAACTGCATCTCTAAGCAAATTTCCAAGATATTCATGATAATATTTTTGAAAGAGCTGGGTCAACACAGTCATTCTGTGTGTTGCTAATGCAATGCATCATGCTCTGCTTCACCTAAATTTGAGTTCTGGTGTGAGGCCACCTTAGGTGCTCTGTGTTTCGCTTGCAGAATGGCAAGCCTGTGGTAGCACATACGAGGAAAGCTAGTTGGCTTATTGGTTTCTGCAGTGGCAAGAACATCCCGGCTCCGTTATGTCTCTGTTCCAAAGCTATGAATTCTGGAAGATTTTCCCATCTTGGTGTAAGGGCAGGCTCAGAGTGTATCTAGGCCTTGAGATTAATTCTGCCTATACCAACTTTACCAGGTGATTCAGAAGCTATAGAAATAATTTGTGATTATTTGGGCAAAAATTAGTAAGCCTTGCTGACTCTAAGAGTTCAATGAAATGAAGAATTTTGCCATGAACTTTCAGACCTTACAGAAGAAGAAGCAGGACACCAAAACGCTGGTTTCACTATCTAACCAAAGTGAGAGGCGAGCAACAGAACTTGAGCAGAATGTGGCTCAGATGAAGCATCAGCAGACTCAGCTACAGAAAAGATTGCGTGAGGAAACTGAAAAAAAGAAGGTCCTAGAGGCAGAAATTCAGCGGGACCAACAACAAATTAAAGTGAGATACTTTTTATTGTTTTAGGATAGATAATGAAGTCAGCCAATTTTGCTTCTCTCTTCCCAAAGACAATGATATATGCTGCCAGACTTTCTATAGTAATGCCTTTAAGTAATGTCTTTCTTGAAAAATATACTAAAGAAACTGCGCATAAATATTTACACATACATATTCTCTATGTGCCTTTCTCTTTCGCCTTTTTCATCTTATTACTTGATTGTAGCCCTGAATCGCAATTCTGTTGATGAATTTAAGGTCAGTATTTTAGGACTCTGACACTAAATAGGTGAGGGAAGTAAAAAAAAAAAAAAAAAAGTCTAAGCCATGATTTTTATTTTAATAGGACCTTCAGCTGAAGATGGAGCAGCAACAGAAGATTCTTAAACTTAAAGATGAAGAGATCGCAGCATTTAAAAAGAAGAAAAATACCTCGGCAGGAACTTTACAGAAGCTACAGGTAGCTAACCTATTCCAGATCTGTGAGGGTCCTGAAAAGGAAAAAGAGAAAGAAAAATCTTCCTCTGTCCCTAGTTTCTCCTGTGTTTGGAAGAAAATACCTCATGGTAGTTTTGTTTTCTTTTTGCTATAGCATAAACTGAGACTATGATCAAGCAGCTCTTGTACTCTTTCAGAATGAAGAGAAGAAGGCAGTAGTGTTTTTGATTGTCTTCATTGTCAAAGATGGCAGTTCAAAGGCCTGAGAATTCCATGGGTATTGCTGTCTGGTGGGTGTGAGGGAGATCTTGACATGATCCACTATACGTATTTTAAGTATCTTTCCTTTGGGGCTTTTGTTTTTTTCTTTCTCTTCACTGATATAAATATAAGGTTTTGTATTGATCATCCCTAACAGGGATGTGATGGAGTTAATCTACATTATTCTACTCTATATCACTTTGTGATAGTTAATCAACATTATTCCAAATCAGGATGTTGGAAAATGAGAGCTTCATGAATTATCCAGCATGTTTAAGACTGAAAAGAAAATGAAAAAGACAAAAAAGGCATTTTTAACTTAACCAACAAGTATCCACTGATAAACCAGAGAGTGAAAAGAATTTCCAGATCTCATTTTATTTCTTTCAGCATCACACTTTCTTGGCATTCTTTGTGGGTTTTTTTTTTTTTTTTTTTTCCTCACAAATAACTGATCTTGGACAACTACAATGCAGCAAGGCTGGGCTAGCAGAATTCTTGTGGTACCCTCCAAACTAGTTGCTATGAATATATGTATAGGACTCTATAGGTCCTGTATGTTATGTATGTATATAATGGTTATACGTATAACTATTCTTAGGAGAAGAATCTGCCTCTTATTACAGGCATCTGATACAAATATTCCTGCAGAAGACATGGGGATGTAACACTCCTTAGTCTCCTTTCAAGTCAGTACAATTTCCTTATTATTCTGAATGAACCTTCTGTTGCAAAATCTGTGTTTGTTTGTTTTTTTTTAATATATATTCATAGAAATCCATTAACGTAGCAGAGGAAAAAAACATGATTATAAAATTCTGAACCCAGAAATGGTTATTAATTAATTATTAATGTTTTAATAATCTCTGTTTAAATTTTAGAAATTAGAAGATCAAAAGAAATGGCTGGATGAAGAAATGGAAAGAATTCTTCAGCAGCACCAACAGTTAACAGAACTAGAAGAAGATTTAAAGAAAAGAGAAGCCATTGTAACCAAGAAGGAAGCATTATTACAAGAGAAAAGCCAGCTTGAAATCAAGAAATTAAGATCTAGCCAGGTGATCTAAGAAACAATATGAAAGTTTAAATTAAAACTTTAAATTTATTTATTTATTTATTTATTTATTTATTGTAGGCTTTAAACAAAGATAGTGTGAAATTATCTACTCGATTAAGTATGCTGGATCAAGAACTGAGTGATAAAGGTATGCAGCTTCAGGACAGCACTACTGAAGATAAGGAAGACATTTTGGAAAAAATTCAGGTTTTACAGAAGGAAAGAGACCAGCTGCTCAGGAGAAGAAACAGTGTCGATGAGAAGCTGAAAGATGGTAAAGTGTTATCAGCTGAAGTAAGCAAGCACCTTTGAGATAAATATGGCTTTTATGTAGTGTTGTATAATAAAGCATTCTAATCATAACCTAAATGGACTTAAAAGTTAGATAAACTAGAAAAAAGAAACTGGGATTGCAGTTTTTAAAACAATGTCAGAATACTGCAATGAGAGCAGTACTTATGTGCTGGCTAACAAAATTTATATTCCAAGGGACTTAGTTTAGTGTGTTGGTCGGCAAACTCTACTACCTCCAAGGACCATATAAATAGAAATAAGGAAACTGGAGATCAGTTTATCCTAAAGGGCTATTTTTGTATCAGGACACATTGTACTAATGTGTGTTCTAACAGTAATGCCCCTTGGGTTTTATTGTTTTTTGTTTTTTTTTTTTCATAGGATTTTGTGAAAAAACAACCTTAACTTGAACATTTTTACAGTGAATGGAAAAAAAAAAAGACATACTGTCTGAACAGTCCACTTCTTACTTGATTAGTATAGTTAAGTTAAAAGTGTAATAATTTCATACAGAATGCACAGATTCTTTCTAGGTCTTGAGAAACGGTGTAAGGATGGGCTAAGCTGGTCAAATAGTCTGCAGGTGCCAAAAAGAATGGAAAGTACAGCTTCTACTTTTGTGGCAATGAACTGTTTGATATCTGTAAAATGGGACTCTACTGTGTGAAGGCAATAAAAAAGGACTCCAGATTTGTATTCTTCCTCTTACTTCTCCCATTCCAGTGTCTCTGCTGTTACCCATTGCCTTGCTCTTCAGAGTAGTTTCACTCTGCAGAATTAAGTTAAATCATGTCTTGTATATAACAATATTGATTTTGCACATTTTTTTTAATCTCACTTTTTTGCATCTCTGTAGGAAGAGCATGTTCTTTTCCAGCTGGAAGAAGGAATTGAAGCCTTGGAGGCTGCCATTGATTACAAGAATGAAAGTATTCAGAGTCGCCAGCACTTACTCAGGTCCTCTTCTCAGATTCTCTCACAGAGCGAGGATAACATAATAGGAAAGCTAGCTCCCCTGTCTGCTGCTGAGCTCAGAGCTATCCTATTGAAATATTTCAACAAGGTTTGTTGAAACTTACAAACTTACAAATAGTAATTTTGTCCTATTGCTTAGTGTCATTCTGGATAATGAAAGGATGTGGTACCAATTAGTGAAGGTAATTTAGCAGACTTTTGGTGATCCTTATTGTATGTTTCCTACTTAGGTTAAATTTGTATATCTTATTTTGATGTGAATAGCATATAGCGTGCTACTAATTTGGAGATTTCCTTGCTCTTTTTCAGTGTTCTGTGTTGCTACTGTTTGGAGCAGTAACATATTTAAATATGCTGCTAAACTGCAATCCTTTTAAAATTCGGGCTTCACACAGCCCAGGATAGTATGGGGTTTTTTGTTTGTTTGTTTGTTTGTTTTTTAGCCCCTCTTCCTTTTCCCTCCCCACTCCAAATATAAAATCTTCTTGCAAATACTGCCTGTAGTATTTACTGCCTTCAGCCACATACTGAAGAACTGATCTGATCTCTGTAGACATAAAAACAAAAAGGCTTTTGTGACCTTGGGTGAACTTGGAGGATCTTGTGAACTAGCTGTCTGTACTATGCAAGTCTTAAGTTTCCAATAATTAGGATACTATTGTATCAGTTAAACTCTGAACATGGTATTAAAAACAACAGCAGCAGCACCGCACTAGTCCATGTTGTTAAAATACACCTGTAACAAAAGCTGTCTTAGGAAGTGTGAATTTACAGAAGAAACACCTGGTCCCAATCACTGCTTAAGGCTTTATAGAGTTGTTTTTTTTTTTTTTTTTTTCATGTATAAGTCTGAGTCTTAAGTAAAATGGCTTGATAAATCAAATGAAATATATTTTTGCTTAGATTGTTGGCCTACGTGAGTCTGAACGTAAATTACAACTGCAGACTGAAGAGCAAGAAATGAAAGTCATTGATCAAGAGAATGCAATACGGGAATTAGAATCTGCACTTGAACACATTAAGCTACAGTGTGACAGGCAATTGACCCTACAACACAAAGAACACGAGCAAAAGCTACAGTTAATACTGCATCATTTCAAAGGTGTTTGCTTCTGTGGGGGATTGTACAGCAAATATTATCTTTAGTTACTGCTGAGAAATAGTGCATTGTGCCTGGAAAAAAAGACACTTAATAATGCATGAAGTAGAGAGATACACTTTGTTACTAATTCTGAAGTCATATAGGGTGCTGAGGAACAGATACAAAGTGTCTGTACAAAAGGAATATTGGATGTTTTTAAAAACAGATTGGAAATGTCCTATTTTCATACTCATTTTGATGTTAGGTAAAAATTTGAAAGATAAAAAGTCCTGTTATCTTGATCTTATCAATATTAAAATGAACAAGCAGGGTAAAAAATGACTTTTTTGATCCTATGTCATAGTAGTTAAAATGTACCTACAGTAAGCAAACTGGCAGCAAGATACAAACTGTCTCGTTTAGCAGCTTGATGTTTGGCAAACAAAAATTCAATATACATTTAATTCTAAAACTAATTTTACTTGTCATAGAACAAGACGGTGAAGGTATTGCAGAAACCTTGAAAGGGTACGAAGTGAAAGTCCAACAACTAGAAAAAGACTTATTTTTCTATAAGAAAACCAGCAGAGACCTGAAGAAGAAATTGAAGGAGCTCACTGGAGATTCATCCCATGAATTATTGGCACCCACTAAATGTAAATATATTGTCTTAAAATACTTATGCAATTGTCAGGAGACTATGTGGGGTATGGTTATACATAGAATATACCAGATAGTTATAAAAAGTGAACTTTTAATTGTGCTATGTGTACTGGAAAGACTTAATTACATCTTCCCCCAGTTTCAAATAAAAGCATTTGTTTGTAGCGTCAGCTATCTCTGATACAGTATTCTTAAACTCTTTAAGTTCGTGCTCTGTTTTCTTTGGATTTTAACATAATTCCAACAGTTACAATCCCCAAGCGTTAAGAGAAAGGCATTTTACTCTATGAAAGTCTCTGAATGACATTGTAGCTAACAAACAGCACTATAGCATGCCACTGTAGTGTTGGGCTGTTCAGACTCTCTTAGAGGTATGGTAGCAGTTTAAAAACAAAGTTAACTGCAAGTTGCTCTCAGCTCTTGATTTCAAAGAGGTTTCCCATTAGGAGATTGTCAGTGAAACATTCCACAGTTTTACTGACTAAGAGTTTATTTATTTTCAAAGCTAAAAGAGAGGAATTAAGACAGCTGTACTAAAAACATACATTTTTTCCAATGCTATCATGTTCTTTGAAAGACCAGCAGTTGTTCTTTTCAGTTCTTATTTGCTGTCTGTCCTACTGGCAAAATTAAAGTAAATCTGCTCTGCTGAGGGGAGGACAAAGAAAAGTTCAACTTTTGTCCCTGCATTGCTTCTTGTGTCTCTAAGGGTCGCCACGACCACTGTGTGGTGCACAGTGAAGGCTTCTTGGCTTTGTGTTCCTCTGTGAGGCTCAGTGTAACTGGTTCTTCCTCCCCCCGGGTACTTCTGTTTCTCTCCACCTTGCCTTTGTACATGTAGGTGCTGACCTGGCACCTGCCCCTCCCAAGGTGTGCAAGGGCTCAGCCCTGGCCCTCTAGGCAGGGTGATGAGCCAAGAAGTTCATGACTATAAAGTAAGTACACTCTGAATATTCTAGATGTTGGATTCTAAGTGAGCGTGGGAAATAATATTCTGTGCCTAGTATACAAAGAAGCATGTAGTTCAGGACATGTTTCCCCATGGGAAAGTGCCCATTTTGGGGCAAAGTTAAAGGGAATAGATCCCTGTGCAATTCCACCTTTTTTTTTACAAGTGCATTATTTTGTAGGAGTTACAATTTTACATCACTGCTTTCAGTTATAATCCTTTACATAATGCCTGAGTCATCCTTTCATGCAACAGAATAAAATATTTTTGACAATTGACTGCTGAGCTTTAATAAAAGTCCTACATGTACACTGAAGTCACACTTGCAGAACTGTGTGTTTTGCTTGCATCACTACATGCCTGCTTTTAAAGATATGAACAATTAAACTGGGTCTCTCAGTGTAAGTTTACTTACTAGGATATACTGTAAGTTAGAAGCGACCAGCCCAAGGAAAGAAACAACTAATTACCGTGACATTTTTGTAATGACAAACTTTTTAACAAGAATGAGAAAATGTGATTTTTTTTGACTACTTTAATGCCACAACTTACTGAAATTGTAAAATTATGCTTACTCCCTAACTTTTTTTTTTTTTTTTTGAAGGCAGGTAATCACAGGAGTCATGACTCTTAGCTATTTATCATTTGGTGCATTTTGTTTTAGATGATGGTGTTGATAACAAAGCACCCAGCCAAGAAGAAGCAGAAGTTGTTTCTGAAGAGTTCAAGTGGGCCAGTAGTCAACTAGGGAAAATAAAAGAAACAGACAGAACAAATGCTCCACGAACACAGCTGAATTCATGCAAGCTTGGAGATCTTTCAGAAGCTGGATGTAACAAAATGTGTTCATCAAGCAGCAGTGATGTCAAAACAGGACCAGATGAAGCACAGCATTCAAAATCTCGTCCTCACCTTTCTGTCAACCCGAGGAGAGAGACTGTAACACAGTTTCAAGGAGTTACTCCAGTAAAACTGTCTCGCCGAGAGCTACGTCATATCCCTCCTTCTGAATTATCTTTGAGGCGCTCGGGACTTGGAGTTGGTGTCAGTTCTATTGCTCCAGACTCAATTGAAATGGAGAAAAAGTCCTAAGATAGAGTTACTCTTCATTGCATTTTTAATAGCACTTGCCACTTGAGCAATAGTATTAGATTTCTTTGTTCACGCTCCTGTTAACTAGCAGACATGGATGAACGAGTAGATGTTCTTTATTTATTGTATACACTCTCAAGTGAATGTTTGCTGTGCTCACATGTCTCCTGTGAATCCAAGATGCATTTTAATTGGCAGAGGGTCTACCGGTGTGTCATACAAATGCCTTCTAATCCTAAGGAAATTGGTTGGGATGCTGTTTGCAGCAACTTCAAAAAAATGTGTGTGTTTTCCAAAATGTACACTGTGTAATTCAGGTTTCCTAGAATTTCATTTCACTTTATTGGATCAGAATTACAACAATTTATTTGCATGTATAGCTAAAATGTAGTTGTCAGACTGTCACTTAGTAATGACTGACTTCTATATATTTTTTTAATAATATATTTTATAGAAAACACGCCTGAGATCAAATTTGGTATGTGAAGCTAAACTTGTGCCTAAAAGTGAACATAAGGTTTTTTTTTTCCTTTCTTTTTTAAGCTAGTATTTAATTACTGTTATTTAAGAGTCTTACTGTAAGAGCCAAAAGTCTTTTTTTTTTTTAACAAAATAAATCTTTTGTGCAAAATAATTGTTACACCTTATTTGTGAAATTAGGGCATTTTTTTTCTGTTTTGTTTTCTGGACTTTTCTGAGGGTAAGAATTGTACTTAGGCTACTCCAAATACAGGTCAAGTTCAGTATCTTTTAGGCAAGTTAGGTGGACTGATGTAATCTTTTCTTTGTGCTAGTTATTCATGTCTGTTTATTTAGAATAAGCACAAATTACTTTCCACGATTGAGTATCTGTTTCAGAGCAATAACTACATTATGTATCTCTTGGTTTACTGTTACATTGTTGTTGCTAATCAGTTCATCGTTAATCAGCATTTTTTTTTTTTGTAAGAGGACAGGGATTGCTGAGAAGGATAAGCTAATTAGTACTTGTACAAACTACAGAGCTACAAAGACAGAGCCCAGAACGTCCAAGCTTAAATAAGTTTAACATTCATCTTCTCCTTTGTCTCCTATGCAAAGAATGGCCTGATTTTTCCAAGAGATAATTAGATAATTGGCCCATTTGAAAGTCTTTTTTTTTTTTAGTGGTGGACTAAACAGTCAGGTTTTAAAATAATGTCTTGGATTATGAGATGTACTTAGCAAAGTAAACTTTAATGTTATGAACTAAGACTACTTTCTGATATAATCTAGGCAAGGCCTTGTGTATACTAGAGTGTGTGGCTGTAGATTTGGAGGAACTGCCTTTTTCCATGCTGCAAGCACAGAGCAAATTTGTGAACATCAACATGATCTTGTTACAACATGATCAATGGGCCTGTTGTCCTGTGGAACACTGTAATGTTTTGACTAGACTGCAAAATATTTTATAGTCAGATTGTTAAACACCTTGCCTGTCAAACGATTTTATCTCTTATAACTGCACTTAATTGTTCCTGTTATTCAGCTGAAGTGTGAGACAACAATTTTAGGGTCTGTTTGAAGATTTTTTTTTACTGTGATGTAAGTAACAACTGTGAATTCTACTGAAATTAAGCTTACTTTTTAAAATATTATTGTATTTATTATTTGCTTAATGTTTGTAGTCAGAAAGCAATAAACAAATAAGTGTATTTTAGCATGTACTTCCATTATTTATTACATCTCAGTATTATGTGAAAGAATTGTTGAGGGCATTTCTTCAATATAATGTTGTGCATTTTCATATACCATATACTACTACATAAATAAACTTGTTCTTGCTTTGAAGTTTGCAGAAATTAAAATATTGCTCTTTACAGATAAAAAATTAAAATGTAGGCAAGAACAACTCAATTACTGGTAAATAACAGTTGATGTTCTGGAGTTTTCTGCAGCTGTAGAACTTCAGGTAAGTTATTCAAACATCAATAAAATAATGCATGTAGAATGAGAAATACTAGTGTGAAAAAGTGGGGGTTTTTTTGCATTTTACATTCGGTATACCACGCAGATCCATTTCCAGAAATAATTAAAATATCTTAAATGTTAAATAGGTAAGTACCTATATTTGTGATCTTTACAAAAGTGGCAAAACTGTTGACTATGAATGGGACCTAACAGTTTATGAACGTAAGCGGAACGGAGAGAGAATCCAGTGAGGCAGTGAAATAGGGATAATGAAAAACAACAATTTTCTGATTTACATAATATATAACTGACAGAACAAGTATCAGTATTTTACCTTCTCCTGTATACTGTCAATCTGTAGCTTCTCTTTTGCTAACTAAAACCAAGATTTTAAGCTTTTATTATCAGTCTGACCAGTGATTTTTTTTGACTAAATGATAAATGCCATAAATATAATACAACAGCTGCTATTCTACAGCAATCAGTACCATTGTTAACCCTACTTATTTAACCTTATTAACTTACTTAACCTTGTTAACCTTATTATTACTGGATTATAATCGTACAACACATGAATACTGCACCATCTGAAAGAACCAACGCCACAGTGGGGTTGGAGGTGTTAGCACTGATGACATGCAGTGCTCACCGGCATCACAGTGTCATTCACAGCTGGTTAAAAACGGCCAGGAATGAAGGAAGGAATGTGCTTCTGCTCTTCTCATGGTCTTCAGGCCACACTGACTTGAGCAATATTCTGACGCAGCTTGGAGAAAAAAAGATACGTTCTATTAAATCTTAATAGCCATTTAGAAACTTACTAAAGGAGACGGGTTTAAAATATATGAAGGGCAACCATTCACCCCATTTCTAACACTGGAGTCACGGCTGTGAGGTAAAGCTAAACCCTGCCTGCGCGTCGGGAACACTCCGCACTTCGCCCGAGGCGAGGGTCTCCTGAGGCATGAGCGATGGCCCCGGACCCTGCTGCGAGAAGCGGACGGGCTCAAGAGAAAACAACTCGCAAGAGGCGGCGCGGGAGGCAAAGCCAGGGCCCGAAGGCCGGGGCCGGCGGGTTCCGGCTCCCCGCGAGCCCCCGGGGCGCCTCCCGGCCGGC